AATAAATGCCAAACTTTAAACTAAAGTGGTTCCTACAGCAGAGGAACTGTTTGTTAGTCATTTCTTAACGGTGGGTAATGCTTTATTAATCAACTCTAGGGTACCCTGTAAACTGATTCTGCAGTGTTTAGTCTAGTTTTTAAAGACTCATTCTTAATTTTGCAGGCAGGACACTTCTCCAAAGCACTGGAGTTAGCCTTTGCCACGCAGCAGTTCGGGGCCCTACAGCTAATTGCTGAAGACCTGGATGAGAAATCAGACCCAGCTCTGCTAGCCCGCTGTTCAGATTTTTTTATTGAACACGCTCAGTATGAGAAGGCAATGGAGTTGCTGCTAACAGCCAAAAAGGTAAGCTCTAGCTCCTCTAGTCCCCCCGCGCACGGGTAAAGAATTGCACAACAGGGGTGCGCATGCATGCACATACATTTATCTTCGTTGCTAAACAGGTACGTGAAGACGTTTGTGAGGTTTAAAGTTTCCCCTCATGCCAATGACTCGTGGGGTGTCAGCCCACTGGTTCAACTCTAGAAACGGCTTCCTGACTTTTTATCTTATTTCTGGCTTAAAACCTGCAGATTTTGCACTCTCAGGTAAAGAAAAACTCCTGCTCTACACTAACGTATTTGGAGACATGGAAATTGTAACATTATCAGTCAAAAAAAAAAAAAAAAAAAATCAGTGCTGTCCCTCTTGTCATACCACCAATGTAGTTAAGTCGCATTATTTCTCACTGAACCTTTTAGGCACTTCTGCCATGCCCTTGTTGCTGTGCTGGCAGCTCAGCCTCACCCAACCGCCGGGTACCAAAGCAGTCCTAGTCCCCCTCCTTTTCAATGAGCTCCTACACCTTCCTTTCTTCCATGTTTTGCAATGGTACAGCAGCCCTTCTCTGGGCTAAAAGCCACAATACTCATAATTTGTTCCTACTCGTGATTTGTTCCTGTATGGGAAGTAGTAAAATATTTAACAAAACCTTTCAAATGCCTGTATTTATTTGTATTTGCTGAAAACCTTAATGTAATCAACCATGCCTAATAAATCCAACTTGCATGTCTCTGAGAACATCATGTTCAAAGAGACAAAATGGATGAATGTTTAGTGCCACACTCACGTCCTCTGAGAAAACGGGTGAGAATCAATGGTCCTCATGGAAGAACAAATGTCTTCTTAGTGAACAAAATGAGACAGCGCGTACTTGAACCGGAGTTGATGTCGGGATGCTTAACTACACAACGTTCTAGATAAAGCATCCGCATCTGCTAGCATTTGTGCCTTCATACCTTTCTGTAGGGTGCACCACAAGCAACATGAAGTATCACTGTACTGCGTGCAGCATCTCATTGCTTTCTCACTTCCATTAGTACCATGAAGCTCTGCAACTTTGCCTGAAGCAGAACCTGAGCATCACTGAGGAGATGGCCGAGAAGATGACAGTCTCTAAGGACTCCAAGGACCTCTCTGAGGAGTCCCGGAGAGAGCTGCTGGAGCAAATTGCCGATTGCTGCATGAGACAGGGCAATTACCACATGGCGACCAAGAAATACACGCAAGCAGGAAACAAGTTAAAGGTCAGCCTGGATAGGTGGGAAAAAAAAATAAAAATCTGAAGAGGCCGAGCCTATTACCTTCCTAAGATTTCTCAGAACAAGGGTGTTTTGAGAAGTAAATCTTGGAACAATCTTCATACAGTAGACTATGCAGACGGGGCTTTCTAGCCACCTTAGCATAGCGTGTATTTCCACATTCACAATGATGTTTCCCCCCCTCTTCCCCCGTGCCTCCCTTTCCATTGCTAGGCTATGAGGGCACTGCTCAAATCCGGAGATACCGAGAAAATTGTCTTCTTTGCGGGAGTTTCCAGACAGAGAGAGATTTATATCATGGCAGCCAACTACCTACAGTCACTGGACTGGCGTAAGGACCCCGAGATTATCAAGAACATCATTAGCTTCTACACTAAAGGGCGGGCCCTTGACCTGTTGGCAGGTTTCTATGATGCATGTGCTCAGGTACATTCCCTTCTGTGACTGCTAAAGGTGTTTGGTTTGTTAGCTCTGGAGCAAGACATCTCATTTCTCCTCTCGCAGGTCGAAATTGATGAGTATCAGAACTATGAGAAAGCCCAAGGAGCACTGACAGAAGCATATAAGTGCCTTTCAAAAGCAAAGACTAAAAGCCCTCTGGAACAGGAGGGCAAACTAGCACAATTGCAAAGCAAGATGACCCTGATTAAGCGATTCATCCATGCTCGGAGGTGAGCTGCAGCATTCAGGGCACGTCAGCTAATGACAGAACATCATACAAGAAGGGAAGTTGTACTAGTACCTACAGTTTAATAAATAACTTGCAGACTCGCTTCTAAAGCTGCTGTTACATTTTGCTAGCAGGGAAACCATTATGTGATTTTTAAAAGCGCTGCTGACATTAAAGATGGAAAGGTAATCTGAAGTATAAGCAAGTGCATTGACCGAGGATAGCGTAGCTCTGTCAGAAAGGCGGTTATGAAACATAACACAGTAAAAGAATCTTCCCCGTTCTTCACATGACTAGCTGAATGCTCTCCCCCAGATTGTTAAGTTTTCTTTTGCTCTTTGCTAGAGTTTATGCTGAGGATCCCAAAGAAGCAGTCAGACAGTGTGAACTTCTCCTTGCTGAGCAAGATTTTGACAATGCCATCCGTCACGGCGACGTCTTGGGATTTCTGGTTCAACATTATGTACAATCGGAGGAATTCCATATGGTAAGTTAATTCTTCCAATCTACAGAGCCTGTATTTATATACAGCAGTGCAGCTTGGTATGGCACGGTTCTCTCGTACAGGAAGACATTCCGTAGTAGAGGCTCCTTTACAGGAGCTGAACTGCTCAGCAGGGTGTGGTAGACCTCAGGAACTATATCCAAATTAATGTATTTTCCATTTCATGTGACTGAAGAGAAAAAGCAAGCTCACAGGACATAGAGCATAAATAGTGGTGGATTCTTAAACATTCCCGGTTATTAGATAAGAACAAAAGGGTCTGTCTGGGTATCTCAGTAATTACACTGTACTTCATTTGCCACCTGGCCAAAAAAGAAAAGAGAATTGTAAAATTACAGTCATTTGAGGAAGTGGTGAATCACCTCCTGAGGGCAGAAGTGCCACACACCCCAGTGTCTGGACAAGCTGTAACCTGCCACTACTATGAAACATAAGGATGCCAAGTGCAAGTTCTCCAGCTGGGCTGATTAACCTTATTTTTAACGTGTTGTTTTGACAGTGCTTCAGCTATCAGGAGAATGTAAAACCACCCTTTGAGACCTCTTCTATTTTAAACTGAAAAAGATAGAATTGACACAAGTCACTAGGAAAGGTCATTGCGTTAGCAAAGGCTGCAAGTCTTGGCTAAGCATTAGCACCCCTCCACGCTGTGCTCCTGCCAAGAGCTCAGGCACACCCTAAGGGTGGATGCTCTCCACCGTTTTGCTGCCACTCATACAAGCAGTACCCCCCAACAGCGATCTCTGTGCATTACTTTAGGCTTACCGGTATCTGGAAGAGATGCAGAAAAGAATTCCAGCCATGAACCTGACCTACTACGTGACTCAGCAGACCATTGAGGCAGTTCACCGAGGAGTAGGAATTCCCATAAGCCGAACCCTGGTTCCAGAGCAGATTCGCCACAGCAGTGTGGAGAACAAGGAGGTGGAAGAAGAAGTGGCCGATGAAGTGGAGGACCCATGAGAACTTACACTTACCAAACGCCAAGCTGACTTTAACACTAGGTCATTTATTCCATCCTCATTAGGGTTCATTATCAGTCACCACATTGCTGCAACAAGGCTTTTTGTTTATTACCAAGAAATTTATTTTTCCTGCTTGACTGTACAAGCAACAGTATTGCAGTTAATACATTACCTCAAACACTACATACAAAGATTCACATCTATATCCTGTAATGAAGCTGGTTTTAGTATTTTAATAAATTTGAGGGAGAAAAAAAACCAAAAAACAAGAAGTGCATATTGTAACTTCAGGCCTTTTTCAGAGTACAAGAAAGAGCTGAGTAACTGCGGTGGCAACTCCAGAGTTGACAAAATTTTCAAGTACAATTTTGATTTGCTAAGGTGCCAACCTGTTTGTCGTTCCTTGGAAGTCAGAACTGCTGAAAACAACTTCTGTCCCATTTGGGTAGGAGCTTGGGTAAAAGTCAAACGACTCCCCTTCCGCAGAATGAAGGGAGACTTCCCCAACCCAAAGCTTTTCTATTTACATACATCACAGGGTCACGTAGGCTAGAGCTACCATTTACAAAAATCCAGACTAAAGCTGAGAGTCCCAGAATGGCTGGGGTTGCAAGGGACCTCTGGAGGTCACCTGGCCCAATCCTCCCTGCTCAGCCTGGGTTACTCTGAGCCAGTGAAGCTTTTTACTCACTGTGAAGCTTCTTCCAAACACCACAGTTATGTCAAGCTACTCTGTACTAGTCAGATTTTAGGATGCAAATTTCTTCCCTGGCGCAAGTAGGACCATGAGAAGTAAAGCCCAACACCAGCAACCAAGGTTTTGTTCACCTTTATGCCTGTTACCTTGCCCCACGAGGGTGTACTTACACTCTCATACGTTTCATACCAACCAGTCTTCCTGCTTAGTGTGATTTTCCTTTTTCCTGTTTTGTGACTTGCTTCGAGACTTGGGATGAATATGAAGTTTTAAATTATATGCTTTCAGGCAAGAAGGGTGGGGGGAGATTTTAAGGCCAAAAATCTGGATGTTAGTTATCCTTTAATAGAAACTTATTTCTGTACCAAGATTATACAAAAAGAATTCCTACTTTGTTCCTTCCTAACCACAGCACAACTCTAGCTCAAGCCTTTAAAGTCTGGCACATTTTCAGAATGTCAGTGTAACTATTCAGTTCTTACATCTCATCAGCGGTGTCATTCCCTAG